CACAAGCGCCCCCCCCCCCCGCCCCCCCAGTTTTAATCGGTTGTTCTCCGTCTTTTTTCGAATGCGACTCATCAGGTGAGTGCGGCATTCGACCGTGTGTCAGACATCAAGCTCGTGCCAAAGCTCTGGCGGTGGGGCAAGAAGCGGGGACCGAGGAGACGCAAGCGCTTCGAGGTGGGCGAGATATTCTTGGAGGACGTGTGCATCTGCGTGGACTCGGGGGTCTGGAACGACTTGCTCGGCGATCAGGTCGGGGCCGCCTTCAGCCCGGAGTTCCGCCTGAGTGTTCGGGTCGGTCCGAAGGTAAGCAGGGGGTTCATAGATGTGGGATGGGTGGGGGGGGGGAGGGAGGAACGCGGCGGATGATTGACTTGCAGAAGAACGCGATGTTGTTAGTATTTGGCTCTTTGTGTGCAATAATCTTAACTCTTTTTTGCGTTTTCCTTGGTGTGCGCATCTTGTCTTCGCGCTTATCTCGCGTCCTTTTTTGCGCTTATACAAATGCGCAGGAGCTGCTGACGCCGAACGGGAAGGGCCGGCTGCCCGGCGATATAGGCAAGCTACTCAACGACAAACTCGTCCGGCTGCTGGCTCGCCTGGTGATGCGGGAGACGCTCAAGACGTCCACCCTCACGAGCGTGGTGATCACGTCACTAGCGCTCGACACGGACGCGCGGGGACGACGGCTGCAGGGCAAGCACAACAAGTCGCTCAGCCCGCCGCCGATTGAGAGGGGACATAGGAGGCATGCCGGGGCAAGGTGAGGAACTACCGTATATGACACAAGGTAACACACCCCCTTGACCAATTTTCGAAGCTCGATTTCTCAACTGCAGGAACAGCCACAGCGCCGAAAACGGCGGCGTTGAAACTGTCTCGTCGAGAGCTTTTCGAAGATGTATCGTTTCGTTTATGCATCCTCTTCGTCGTGGAGTAATCGAGCTTTGAAAATCGGTCCAGGGGGTGTGTTATCGTATGTCATATACGGTATGTAGGCGACTTTTCCGGGCAAGCGTTCGGCGGCGGGTGCTCGGCTTGTGGCCACACGTGTGGCGTTGGGGATGGGGGGCAAGGCTAGTTTGCCGGAGAGCTTGCGAAGCCCGGGCTTCAGTTGTATGTAGCACCGCTCTTGTGCCAGTTATGCCACCGCATGAACCCAAACAGCAAGAGGGTGTTCCAACTAGTCCGATGTCGCCATGCCTGTCTTGTTGTCCGAGACCTGTAACTAGTACTTACCAGGCATCCGACTGGCAAACCGTACCCCTTCGCGTGATACGCCCCGGGCAGCGAGACGACGCCACCCGTACATGCGTCGGCGGCGGCGACGGCAGGGTCCGAGAACAGGTCTGGAAAGTTCTGGCGTGCGTTCACGACGCATTCGTCGGCGTCTTCGGGTGCTGCTACTGCTGCTGCTGCTGCTGCGGCGGCGGCGGCAGCAGCAGCAGCAGAGGCGGGGGGACCAGCACCGTCTGTAGCCTCGGCTAGCCTGCCCCGCAGCAGCAGCGGCGGCAGCCTGGGGGTGAGAAGCGCAAACAGAGGCGGCGGCGGCGGCCGGCGGCAGAAGCCCCACGCCGCCTCCGGTGCGAATAGCAGCTCAAGTGTCAGCAACAGCAGTTGGAGCGGGTTTCAACAAGATGTCGGCGGAAGCGTTTTGGATTCAGGTGGAGGAAGCGGGGGCGCGGGGGGTGGCGGTGGCGATTGCCGGCCAGCGCGACGAGCGCAGCGTTCCAAGAGATCCCTACGGAGCATCGGGTCATGGCGGCGCTACTCGGAGCCTGCTTCTTTCGCGACACTTGTCGGCGGGAAAACAAGCTTGTCGCAATCGCCACCTCCGCGATCACGGGTGCGGCAGCGGCCGGGGGGGCTCGCGGCTGGGAGCGACATCGGTGCCGTTTCCGACGGCGGTGGCGGCGGCGGCGGTATTGCCGCCACCTCTTACGAGGACGAAAGGGACGACGGAGAGGGAGTTGTTAGTGGCGAGGGAAGGCGGTTGCCGGGAAGGGGTCGGGGTGGGGCGTCGTCCCGCCGGGAGCAGCGGGGCACGGTTAGCGATATCGCCGTCGGTGGCGGTGGTGGCGCCGGTGACGGTGGTGAGGAGGGCGACCGCGGCGAGAATAGCAGCGGCGGCGGCGATTCGGTCGAGGCGGTGGCGAAGGTGCCGCCCTGGATGGAGGGCGTCGAGGCGTCGCCCGAGTACGAGGAGATTAAGCCGACCCTTGACGTCATCAAGCAGACGGTTCTGCTAGCGATGTTGCAACAGGTAAGGATCGCCATGAAGGAGGAGAGGGGGGTGGGGGGGCACGGAGAGCAAGCAGGTGTGCGTGTATACCGCCGATGTAAGGTTTGCGCCACCGCTATCCGAACACCAGGTATGATCTGGCGTAGGTCAGACCAGGCGGGTCCTAGTGGCAAGAATATGCTGCTGGTGTTTAATTCGGTAGGTGGACGGGTGTCGGAACTTCTTGCCGCATGTTTGTTTACTCGGCGTGAAAGCTAAGTTGGTTGATGCTTTCTTCTTTGTCGGGTATGTATGTACTCCGGAGTTTGCAGAACGATCTATTTTTCTCACGCCTGGTTTTGCCAGAACCTTCGCACTGGATGAATAGAGAAGCGAGACCTGATGCTGGGATTAGAAAAGGCGATAGGCGCGGCCAACAAACCATCCGTCCGCCTCCCGCTTGTTGACTGCTCTCCGACTCGCGGGCGCTCTGTAACCCTCCCCCCTGGAACACATAGACGAATAGATCTGTGGACCTCTCGAGCGAGGGTTTGGAGGGTCTCCAGCATCAGGGCGATATCAACGCCAAGAATAAGACCTGGGGTAGGCGCCACGCGTCGCGGTCCTCCTCCACCTCCAAGAACGTCGGGGAGATGCTGGAGCTGAAGGGGGAGGACGAGAGGACGCTAGAGAGAAGGATGCAGCGGGAGATCATCGCGGCGGAGGAGGCCGGGGGCGACGTGGATCGACTGGTGATGAAGAGGCTGTTGGCGGGGGTGCGGGACTCGGGGCCTGACACCGCGTACAAGGCTCTCGCTTCGATAGAGGTGAGGCGGTGTGTGTGTGTGATGAGTGTGTGCCACCGTCCCGTGTGTGTTTTTCTCGATTAGCATCGACCACGCTAGCGGATTGACCAGTGAAAAGACATCAGTCTCTCAGTGCGGTGGAAAACACACAATGCTTCTATTGGCCACAATCTGGGACCCTGTCACCGAGCGTCATGGGGGAGTCTAAGCTACCCTCCGGATTCAAGACAAAAACCGTTGTGGCAAGAAGTGTGTTCGTGTTTAGTATCTTGTTTTGTTGGTGTTTGCATCGACGGTGCTGACCGGCTGACCAACGAAAAGACGTCAGTCTCAGTGCGGTGGAAAACACAACATGCTTCTATAGGCCACGATGTGGGGCCCTGTGAGGTTGCGTGTGTGTATATGTGTCTTTTTTTATTGGTGCTTGCATCGACCGCGCCAGCCGGACGGGTTAAAGCACGTCATCAGTCTCAGCGCGACTAATATCGGAAAACGCTTCGAAATGCCCATGAGGGGGCATCACGGGGGAGGCTGTGTTTGTGCGTGTTTCTTCGTATAGGTGGCCGAACGACTCAACACACGTTGGACGATGCGACAAAATTCCATCGTGCGATCACTCCGCATCTTTGTTTTGTTTCTCTGCGTACCTCCGTCTTTTTGTGCAGTTGAATCCCGATGCCTTCTTCCCAACATATCTCACGGCCGCGTGCTACCGCTCTCCCTCACCGCAGCCACATGCTGCTGCACCCTCTCTCACTCACCCCCTCTGGCAACCACAGCTGTCTTCCTTCATCGACAAGGTGTCCAAGGGCACGCGGTTCGCGCAGCATCTGGACCACCTAGGCATCGACGTGAAGAGGTTGTCGAGGTCCTTGTCCGGCCTCACCGCCGGCGAGATGATGGAGGGGGTCAAGGACACGGCCGGCAAGGTCGGGGACGAGGCGCGGCGCCTGCGAACGGAGGCCGTGCGCATGCAAAAGGTAGGGGGGCTGCACACGGACCGAATGATCGAATAACCGAGGGGAGGGAGAGAGAGGAGGATCGAGCAAGAGTACTTGGAGAAGTACCGAGCACTACAAGGCCAAGCGGAGCAACGCGTAGAACATTTAGCAAGTGGGAAGTGCGGCCGGCCGCCCGAGGATTGATGAAGGGCGTCCTCGTCAGACAAGGAGGCACAATGCGCGGTGCCCCCTATCGCTTGATATCTGTTGCGGCGTCGTTGTATTCCACAGTCTCTAACCACACACACGTGGCCCGTTTGAGGTGGTTGTTTCCTGGGTACACTCTCTGGGCTCCGGCTTTTTCTCTCTTTTTTCCAACGTAAACGCGCATCCCTGTCGTCTTCCAGTGTACCAGCTCCCTGCCGCTTCCTTCGACAAGCTTCCCCCGATAATGCCAATCCATCAATCTCTCATCAGGAGCTCCTGGATGAGAGCGGCATCTTGCCGCTGCTCGACGACGCGGGCAGCCGTGACGACGCCACTTCCCTCGCTGCGGCGGTCGGGCTACTCACCGACGCGCTCTCCGGAGAGCACAACACCGCCAGTAGCGGCGGGGGCGGCGGCGGCGGCGGAGGCGGAGGCGGTAGTAGCCTTGTCCCTCAAGACGAGGAAAGCTGGGAGAGGGGAGTGGCCGTCCCGCATGAACCTGAGGAGGAGGGGCATAGTGTAGAGAGCGGCTTGAGAAGCGCGGGTATTGTTGGCGGCGGCGGCGGCGACTTGGACGAGGTGGACCAGGTGGACGTCATCATGCAGGTACGTAAAACAAGCTCACAGAAATCGCGGGCCGGCTGGGTGCGCCGCCGCCCAGGGACACGCCCAATGGTGCACTTTCCGACCGTGTGCTTTGGGCTGTCGTTGGTGTTGGGTTTCGTGCAGCGTGGTGTCAACGGTATTTCGAGCGCGGGGTTGAAAGGGCGTTGATTGGATGGTTTGCCGACGTTGTCGCGATGCCCTGCACAGCGGACGGATGCGTGGGATGGGCGTCAGTTTTGGGGAGGACGGTTTGTCAGGCGCATTCTCCGAGCTGGCTAAAGTAAAGCCTCGCGGTTAGATTCACTTTATCGAGGCGGCGACAGCAGCAGCAGCAGCAGCAGCAGCGGGAGAGCGTCACCGTTTCCACCAGAGGTACCTCAAACCTTAACCCCAAGAGCTCGGCTGGGGATAGCTAGGTCTTTCCCCTCTACCGGTCCGTTCACGCGTGCCGCGCACAAACCACCACCACCGGCCCGCAAGCAGCCTCTGCCCACTCCATGTCTGTTTGTGGCTCTTTGTTGTCGACAGGTCCTGGACCTCATCGATGCTGTGGAGCGCCTTAAGAAGAGCATCGTGGAAGGAGGAGTCTCGCTTGGGAAGGTTGAGCAGGCCGTCGGCAAGGTGGCTCAAGGCATCGACGTCTACCTCATCTTGGCGGTAAGCAGCCTGCGGCCGGTCAAACAAAACACTTGCCGTTTCTCTGGGGTATCGCCCTGTAGGTTGAGGCGGGCCGCTCGCTAGTCCATGTTTGCGTGCCGGTGGTTTGACAGCGGGGGGAACGCATCCTCATACACGAGGGCATACCTACATGGCGAGCGGAGGGAGAAGCAACAAAGCTCTATGCACACTCTCTCTGTCTCTTCTCGCTCGCTTCCTTATCAGGTGCTCGAAATATGTTGCCAGGGCGACGGTTACGCATGACACCCCCCTCGACATAAACCTCCTTTTGCATCCCTTTGCGTATGCATACCGTCCGTCTGGTTCTCTTTGTCCCCTCGCATTGCCTGCCTGCCGTATGCATCGTATGTTACGGGGGCGGCGGCTACTTGACGCGTGTGGGTCGTTCGTTTTGGCATTGTGATTGGCCTTCATCAGGCGAGCGAGTCCATGCTCGGCTTCCTCTTGGAGCGGCTCGGCAAGCTCCCGGTCGGGCACGCCAAGTTCGCCGGCAAGGGCGTCGAGGCTCGCGTTTGGAACCTGGACCTGGGAGGGGTGCACGTGAAGCGGGAGAACGTCGACCTCGTCATGAAGGGTTTCCGTCTACCCAAGAGGTACACGCGCGTTTCGTGTGATTTTTGTTTTCGAGGCGTGTGTTGCTTCGTGTGTGGAGTTGCCAGTGTTGCCACGTGTGTGCATGTTTTTTTTTTTTTATCAGTGACATCAATCTCGCCACTGCTGTAGCCGGCTGACCACGTGTGTACCCTTCCGCGCGGCGGCTGATAAAACTTTTGCTGGTCTCTCCCACCGTGTGGTGTTGTTGCGCCATGGCAGAGGCACGGCCGTCATGACCAAGTTCGGGCCAGGAAACATCAAGCGATATAAGAAGCGTTCTCGGTGCTTCGTGGTGAACCTGGACTGGCGGCTGGGCTCCGGCAAGCGCGTCAAGGCCTACCTGCAGCCGAACGACATCGAAATTCTGGAGGTGCGTCTATACCCGAATGAATAGCTTAGAAACCTCTCCCGTTTTTAGAACACATGAGCTTGTTATCGGCAGTGATAGTTGGCTGATTTCGCCGTTGAAGGCGGCAATAAACCATAAACGTCGCGATCAATATACTGGAGATAGTCCGGAGAGATGTGCAATGTGTGTGTATGTCCCGACTCTCGTGGTTCCACCACTTTTTTTTTCCTCGGTTTGTTGTACCCCGATAGGACAGGATGGTACAGGAGCTTATCTCAAGGATAGGACAGGACAGGGCAGGACAGACGGTGCGTGACAAGCCTCTGAGATACGCCCTGCCGCCTCCGATGACTTCCACCTCGCCTTGCGGCACAAGCTGCACACCCACACGACGCCCACCTGTTGCCCCCCCTCCCCTTCGCTTTTTCAATGAACTACAATGTACGCTATGTTAGGGGCACGAGGGGCGTTTAAGCGACGAAGAGGAGGTGAAAATTAGCGGGCACACGAAAGTGACGGTCGACACCAGCGAAGCCGACGCATCGACCCACACGCCAGAGGAGCCCGGTGGGAGCAAGGGCGGCGGCGGAGACTCCTCCTTTTTGTCGCCGCCTCGCCGCGAACACAGCAACGCCGGCAGCAGCACCAGCAGCGCGGCGTCCCTCCCGCCGCCGCGCGCGGAAAGAGGGGGAAGGTGGCCTTCCTTGCCCAGGATTTGGAACCGGCGGAAGAGCGCGGGGGCGCCGCAAGTCGCAGCATCGGCGGAACTCGGTCCGGTCGGGGTCGGGGTCGGCGATGGCGATGGGGATGGGGGTGGGGGTGAGAGAGCAGTCGCCGCCGCCGGCAAGCCGGGCGGCTCGGGGGGGCAGACGATGGCCCGGCGCACGGCCTCGGCCCCTGTGTTGTTGCTACCCTCGACGGTGGGGGCGCTGCCGCAGCAGCAGGGGGAGAGGGATCCGTCGGCGCGGAATGTGTCCACGGAGTCCCTCGGAGAGGATCTTTGCTCGAATGCTTTCGTCCGCGAGGCGGGACAGGCGGCGACGACCTGTTCTTCTGTGTCCTTCTCCTTGCGGGAAACGGCGGGGACGACGGCTTCTCACCCTGCCAGGGAAAATGCGGCGCCGAGGAGCAGAGTTGTCGACGACAGCGACAACGTGGCGGAGGACGGCCGTGGGTTTGGAGAGGTTCACCGTCGCACGGAGAGGAGCAACAGCCAGGGGCCCATCACCGGCCCCAACTCGGCGGACGTGATGTCGGCGCCGTTCCTCGTCGCGCGGATCTCGGGCGTGGGCGCGGAGCTGAAGAACATCATGTGGGCGGTGAAGCAGACGCACTTCCCGTACTTGCGGACCCAGGGTAGCCTCCAGGCGACGCTGTCGAGCCTCACTATCGAGCTCGAGCTGGACGCGCAGGAACTCCTGGCGGGACAGGGCAAGAAGCCGCAGGGTAGCGGTAGCGGTAGTGGCGGTGCTGTCGGCGAAAGCGACAGCGGCGGCGGTGTCGACAGCGGTGGCAGCGGTAGCAGCCCGACGGGGCTGAAGCTTACCCGCTTGAGGGTGTCGGTCCTGGCGGTGAAGGTCCACGTGAAGAACAACGCCCTCAGTGCCGTGTTCAACCTAGCGGCCTCCGCCTTCGAGGCGGCCGTGAAGCGCCAGGTCGTCGAGAATGTCGAGGCCGCCGTCCGCAAGAACGTAACCTCGCTCCTCACCATCATCAACACGCAGCTCAGCGAGAAGTGGAACGTCTTGTGCAAGGTCGGGGGCGGGAACGGAAGCAGGGGCGGTGGCGGTGGCGCGGGCGGCGACGGAAGTCACGGCGGCGAAGGTAGCCTCAGCCGCGCCGGGAGCGCGGTGGAGAAGGTTCTCGCCGCCTCTCTCTCCCACCACCTCGTCTGGTCCGCTGACAGTGCCGCCGCCGCCGCCGCCGCCACCGCCGCCCCCGATGGCGGCGGTTGCGCTCCCGCTGCCGCTGTCAGCACAAGCAGCCTTCCCCTCTCTGACCAGCCGCCGCCGGCTGCAGGGCAGCAGCAGCAGCAGCAGCAAGGCTCTTGCTGTGGGGAGCGCAAAGGCTCGGGTTCGAGCAGGAGCTCGGCCGATGCCGACGACGTTGGCGCGGGCAGCAGCGGCAACAGCAGCGTTGCCCGCAAAGCGAGCGGCGGTAGGAAGATGACTTTGGGGAAGCGATCGTTTCGCATCCTAGGGTCCGTCGGCAAGGCTGTTTCGACGGAAGACATGTCCAAGCTGTTGGCCCCGTCCTCGTCCTCGTCGTCGCCGGCCTCGTCAGCGCCGGCGAAGTCGGCCGCCAGCTCTTCCTCCTCGGTGCCGCCGCCCGTCTCCCGAGTAGGCAGCGCCGCCGGCGGGTTCCCACGCTCACCGTCACCGCCCTCGCGGGACACCAGCCGCACCACGCTGAGCGGCGAGGAGGAGGGATCATCGGGAGCACCGTTAGCGGAGGTGACGGCGGAGCGGACGGGGGGGAAGCACCAGCAGCACCAGCACCAGCAAAGGAAGAACCCCGCACCCGTTCGGGCGAGAGGGATGTGGACGTCTCCGCTGCGCAAGCCGCAGCAGCCGCTGCGTAAGGGCTTGAGGCTTGACGGAAACGAGTCGCGCGACGGCGGTTTCGTTTCGGACGGGTTCGTGGCACGAGGGCAGGAGCAGGAGGAGGAGGAGTAAGAGATGTACTAGACGCCCCCAAACACCGTGAGGACGCCGGCGGCGGGACCGATCTGGGTGGGAAATTCTTAGAAGGCCGTCCGTGGTTCCAGTCAGTTAATGTGGCAGGCAGGAAAGAGGGAGGGGGGGAGAGGGAGCGACTGCCACCGTGATAAGGCGGGAAGGGAGGGGGCGGGGGCGGGGGGCGTCTAGTGTCGGGATTGAATGGAGCAGCTAAGGTAGGGAGAGTATTACGCAGGCCGAAACACCCAAGAGGGATTCTAGGTGAGGCAAGTAAGTGAGGTAGGTGGTCAGGGCTGAAAAGACGAGACAGGTCGCGCTATGTACGTAGTTGTGGATGGCACGAAGGCACAACCATTGATGTCTGTATTAAAAAAAGTCTTGTTCTTTTTTGTTTTGGTTTGGTTTGTGATGTCCTTCTTCCCCGAATAGCCCGCCTTGACGCACGGCGCTATAATTAGGAGTAGGTTTTTCACTCTCTTGGAACACGCCATCAGGGCTGTTTCGGGAAGGGAGAGAGGGGGACTAAGGGAGGGGGAGAGGATCGCAGCTGAGTCATGGTGCGATCCTGTCTAGAAAGCCCGTGTCTTCCAATCGAGTCACTTGGCGTTAATATGGGGCTCTTTTGGTGGCGAGTTATCGATCTCTTCAAGGATTATTGTGTCGTATCGATAAGAGTTGTGTATGTGTGTGCTTGCGTGCGTGCGTGCGTGTCCATTTTCGGCGATGCCCTCCGTGTTAGCCGACCGGGAAAATGACTGCTCTTGTTAAAAAGACTCGCCGTGGGGCTGGCTGGATGTCCCGCAAATCGATGGAGATGTATGTCGGTTGTTTGGATTGTTTTCTTGTAGGGTTTCCGGAGCTCAACGGCGGTTCATCCATCCTTTCCCATCCCTCTCCTATGTTTCGGTGGCCACGTCCTCTGCTTGATGTCCGGCGACGCTTTTGGGTTAGAATCGGAAGAATGAGCAAGCTCTGTGCCACTCAGTCTGTGCAGCAGTGAGGAATGTTTATCGCTTCTCCTCGTTTTGTCGCGCGTTTTGCTTTCCCTTTCGCAAAGCTGGAGCGCTGTTGAAGCGGTGCGGTGTTTGTTGGGGGTGTTTTGTTCGTGCTCCTGTTGACTTGTGTCCTCTTTTTGTTCTCGCATGGGGTTAGGGTTAGGTCACTTTTTGTAGCACAGCAGTACACAAGAAGTGAATACTGCGTCTTACGTCACGTGCTTCGAGAGGCCTGAGCAAGCAGAAACTTGTCTCTCAGTACCAAAGGCAGAGAAGCATGCAGGCAGGCAGTGAGCAAAGTGACAAAAATACACGTTGCTCTCAGTCAACCAAGGTAGTAGAGGCCCCCCCTTTTCCTCAAGGCTTTGGCCAACCTTGGTGCTGACAGTTTTTGACGTATGCTTGAATGCGAACCGTCGCGAGACTCGATATTCTCACGACTTCGATTTTCTCACGCCGTCCTTGTTGCTGTCGAGCCCGGCCAACCGAACGTCAAGGCGCGACCTCCGTCTAGTATCTGTTCAGCTCGCTACATGGACGACATGACATGATCATGGTGTGTGTGTGGGAGAGAGTTCTATTTTTTTTCGTTTTAGACTGTGTGGGGCGGTGAGTAGTTGTGAGGGCGTGGGCGTTTTTTGTGTCCGACGGAATGTTTTGTTATTTACCTACTGTAGTTGTTTAAGTTTTTCAATGTCAGTCCTCTGTTACTCTTGCTCGGTGATTCCTTCACGTGTTGTTGGTGTTTATTCAACAAATGTTACGGCTAGATTGATTTGTGTTCCGTGTGTGCGCAGCTCGTTCGTATCGTTGTCGTGCAAACGGTAGCAGCATTGGTTCACGTGCCCTACTATGTGTACCGCCTGTCTTGCACTGATGGTGGCTTCGTCGGATCTGCTGTACCTCCTCTGCTGTAAATAGTATCTCACACCTGCGTTTCGCTGAACATTTTATCAACAACGTGACCGTAGATCCCGAAAGGACTGGGGGGGCGGGGGCGGGGATAGGGGCCGGTGATATTTCAGAGAAGAGCAGGGGACGCAGTCTGATAGGATTAGCACCGCTCACATTATTGGTTGATGGGACGGGACGAAGAGTGTCAAAATGATGAAATGGTAAACCCGCGGGGGTGGCACGGGAATGAGTCATACCTCCTGTGGGATGGGAACCACGATTTTTTTTTTCACGGGCGTTGCTTCAGAATTCACAACCACCACCTTTCTTTTTGGATCAAAAAGGCATGGTTTGCTTCTGTGTGGTGGAGAAAAGGGGGATGCAAAAGAGGAATGGAGACGTCCATAGAGTAAGATGGAACACGCGCGTTCGTGAGGGGTCGATTAGTTCGCGAAGCGCCTGCACAAGGAGGCTCTTCACCACAACACAGCAGTAGTTTTTTTTTTTTTTTGCAGAGCTGCGCCCTGTGTGGTTTCATGATCGATTTCATAGCGCGTGATGGATGATTGCATCCACATCTTATCTTCGCCTTGCAGGCCTGTACATGTTAGGCAAATACAAAGAGGGCCTTAACGGTAATCTTGTCGATGGTGACAACCCTGATTTGAGGATAAGAGATCCACTACGACGTGGCTTTTAGCGTGACTTCAGTTTGCCAGTCTATTGCTGTACTTGGCTCGCCATTGTTCGCCGTTCCCTCAAAGCCATGGTAGCAGACCGTACAGGGCACCACAAGCGCGGATGTTCAACGCCAGTTCACGTTCATCGCCGGCGATCTGTTTTTTGAATCCAATACAGTGGTATTGGTCCTGGAGCCCGATGCAGTTGGCCCTCTGTAACTTTTGATTGCGGGCGACAACAAAAAAGCTAAAGGTATCTTGGGAACGCACGCGGCAAGGTGCTTAAGACTAGCAAGACGACAAAAAAAAAAAAAAAAAAGGGGGAAAAGTGGTCGAGGGCCGGCCTCGAACCACGGACGATGTCGTTTCAATGTAGTCTTCTCGATACATTTTCCTATTTTTTTTGTCGTCGAATCCTCGTTTTTCAACGCCCGTGTGACTAAAAACTACCGGAAAGCTGCTCTTACCAAGCCCCCCCGCCACTATATGACCTATGGCACCTTCTGCACCTTGCAACAAAACGAAGCAACCGAGAACACCCCAAATATTACGATAAAATGCTATAAAAAACAGGTATGTAAAATGAGAAAAAAAACACGCCAAAAAACGCAAAAAACAGACGAAATTTAACGGTACAGTATGTAAAGGTTTAACTTAACGAAAATTTAGGGGGCATTCGCAGCCTTGAGCTTGTACTCAGATGGTGCTGGGCGCCTGTGCGATTTGTACGTTTGGTAGTGTTTCTCTCCCTCAGGCCCTACAGCACGCGTATCACGGTACACCAAATTATGTGTGTACGACTTCTTGCAGTACGCCTGCACCGTTCCCACGGCTTGCCTATCAGGCTCTACTCTAAAGCTCAACGGCACGTTTTCCCGCAGTGCATCTAATGAGTAGTTGCAATGCTTGCGTGTCCAGTCCTTGGCGCGGCCCCAAACTAGCTCTATGGGGTTGCACTCGCAGTGGTACTTGGGGAGCATGATACAGAACCCCCCGTGGCGCGCCATCAGGAGCGCTAGGCTGGACTCCACTTCCTTAAAGTCCTTCTGCTCGCCCAGGACGTGCTCCATGCTCATGCTGAGGTCCTGCTTCGTGCCGCTGCCCCCCGACTTGCTCATGCCGTCCTTCAGGAGCCCCCTCTCCCACAAGATCTGCCGCATGCCTTTCAGCTTCCCTACGTACTCCGCCGGCGCTAGATGCGGAGCGTACATCGGGGGGTCGTCTCCTGGTTGAAAAACCAAGTGCTGGATGGAGCCCTTTCCGAGGTTAGGGGTGTCTTCCCTCAGGGTAACGGCATCCATCCCGGCGATCTCTTCTCCCTGCCTCTTCCCACCGTGTCCCACGTTCATCCTTTTCACCGTTGGTGCGCCTTCCTCCAAGCAGTCGTGGCAGGACGACCAGTCGAACAGCCCCACTGGTTTGTGGTTGGGGTACTTGATCGCAAGCATGTCGATGACGTCCGACATGTGGTCGAGCATCTTGAGGCCAGTCCAGTACCCCTCCTTGTTCTTGCCATACTCAAAGAGGTGGTAAGACCAGTAGTTGCCTTCCTCGTCGACGTACAGCTTGTCGATCCGCCGGTAAACCTCGACTTTCACGTTCTCCCCTCGCTTAGCTGCAGCAGCCGAGGCGTTGCAACGCTTCCTGCGGAGCTGCTCGGCGGACTTGATCTCCCGCTTCGTGGCCGAGACGAATCCAACGTTGTGAATGATGGTTCCCGACACCATGATACCCTGCCCGGGCGATTTCTTCCTCACCACGTGCACGTCTGGCGCCCACCACGCGGCTTTTTGGTCGTCGTTGGCTGCGGTCAAAGAGGGAACAGATACGGGGTAGAGGGAAACGAAGGGACAAGAAGGGGTACACTTAACGGTGGCATTGTAAAAAATATTAACTTCATTTCCGAACCAGCCATAACTCACATGCGACGTAGGTAACTTTTGAAGCACGAAAAAAGACAGAATTCGAAAACATTCAACATGATTTTTACTGACAATATGAATACATTCTTCTCCAGCTTCAATTTTCTAATGTAGAATTTACCTCTGAAGATGCTCTCGTCCTGGTAGCAGAGAAGCGCCATCTTGCCGTCCTCGTACCGTAGCTTGCTCGTCACTCGTTCCTGCAGCGATTTCGGTAAGTCCGTCAAGACTGGCTCCAGATCGTCAACACCGACCCACACTCCGCCGTCGTCTGTTCTGTCGAAATCGCCCACGCGTGATGTCGATACACCCCATGTCTCCGCTTCAGCTACCTCCATCGGAATCCAAACCTCCATGTAGTCGCGGGTCTTGAAAAGCTCCGGAAGGTACGTGTCGTTTCGGTACTCCAAGACCTTCTCGTCATCGTGCCCATCGAAGTACAAGCCACCCTTGCCTTGGTGGTACTCGCACCCAAGCTTTTTTAGCCACGCTGTTGCAGTCCAAATCGAAATGTGTCGCTTCTTGGGCTCACCCTTTTTTACTTCCACCAGGTTGACTCGCAGCCCCTTGAAAGGGTCGTAGTCAGGCGTCATCAGCGCCTCAATCTTGGGCATGATGTCGGTGTTGACGAACTGGCGGAAGTCCTCGGCTGTTTTGTTCGCCTGTCCCTTGAGTATCCCACCCCAAGCGCGCGTCCAGTCCTTGCACTCGGTGAGTATGCTGTTGTCGAGCCCCAAGAGAAAGTTCCGCTGAAAGCGCCCCGCTGCAGAGACCTTGATGTGACCGCGCGCGAGGAAACTTCTTTCCCACTCGCGCACGGTGTCGGGGGTACAAAATCCCGTCTCTGCCGCCATCTGTAGAGCGGTCTCGCGATCGACGCCGTCGTTCTGTTGTCTGTACAGTTCCGCCAAGGTGAGTGCATGCACAACAATCTCTCCTCGCTGGTAGTTGGACAGGCTCTTGGCTGCAGAAGGGACCTGGTTCGGTGAAATAAAAGCAGAATGGAGTTTGACGAGTGCAATTAGCCCCAGCAAAAGATTTCACAGCACAGGCAGAGGCACGCGCTGCCAACAGTCATGGGAGAGAATGCACTGCTGTGTACAAAGCAGCTGACCATGCAACAACCGGTGTAGTAACACACAGCAGTAATGCCCATAAGTTTACAAACCGTACTTCAGCAGTACAGTACAGCAGTACTTTGTGCAGTTTAATTGCATTTATGAAAACTCACATCATCCTCCTCCTCGACTGCTGATGCGCTGATGACCACCGCAGCGTCCCTCCTGACCTTCGCAAAGTACTTCAGCTGCTCTTCACGAAAATCGTGGGCCACCACATCCCTCATCACCACCCTCGCTTCCGCATCTCGAGCGCGCTTCATCTTTTTCAGCGCCTGCGATTGGCTGTACCCCTTGTTCAGGAATTTCTTCCTGGCCTTGTCGACAAGCTCAGGCTCGATCTCCTTCCACACTGCCAAGGCTTCCTCCAGCTGCCAACAGGAGAGTTCAAAAGCGTCGGGGATGGCCTGCGTGAGTTGCTGCCGCAAGGCAATAGCTCGCTCCCGTGTGGCCCTCTTGCCGACGCTCCCCTTCATTCGTCCAGCGCCCTCTCTGGTGCCACCCCAACATGCGTTGCGCGGCCTCTTCCGTGTGCCTCCAACGCCAGGTTCTTTGAGAGAACCAGGTTCTGGGGCTGCATCTCGCAGCATGCCGTCGCGCGTAGGTGCGCTTGGCACACCCTCAGCAGTAGCGCTCATTGCCTGAAGGTCCAACCATGTCAAGAGCGACAGCTCATCGATGCACTCACGCTCGGCAGAAGCCAGCCGCGCACGCGGTTTCCCCTTTGTGATCCATCGGCTGCGCCACTTCAGCCGGTCCGCATCACCAGCAGAGGTAACGGCTATTGTGAGACGGTACTTGCGCGCGGTTTTCCTGTCGATGGCGACCTTGCGAATGGTGTATCCGTCCGGAAGGGTGCTCTGCACGTCTCTGTACTCCTGTGAGTCCTCATCATCGAAGTCCATATCTTTCGTGGTCTCTGTCCCGCACAACCCAGCAGTGTGTCCAGATGCACAATTTTTGAATTTTACATCTTGATTTTTTTCGGGTTCTGGCCCGGCATTGTTGCGTTTCGGAACAAACGTCCTAGAACCAGTTTTTCACGAGGATTCCAAAAACACGTTTTGTTTTTTTCACAACCCACCTCGGGGTCCCGCAAATAGCCATTTTGCATCCCCGCCGCCCTCTCCTACCCAACTTCAGATATACATAAGTCGCGAGGAAGGTATGTTGTGAAAGATGAAAATAGCTGCATTCGAAAGCTATGGTCCGTAGCTTTCATTTGATATATAATTTGTTGGGTTTGATGACGGGCCAGACCGAGAAAAAAATCAAGATGTGCTGAATCGGGCTCCAGGACCAATACCACTGTACGTCACAAAATTAAGAAAAAATAAATACACGCACAGAAATACTCTACCCATTCGAGAACCCGCTGTCGTATCGTACGATCGTACAATACAACAAACCATCCTGCGAGACGACGGGCAGTCCACTTTCATTGTCACCTTTCGATGGCACACACCTCACGAGCAACATTCGATGAAAATGCAGAAACTCGTTCCGTTGTCTTTTGTGGGTGGGCGCACGAGACGCGGCAGCCTGGGCGAATGACACGCGGTTCGGGGTCCGAGCGATAGATAGAGCATATCACGAACGGGAGCTTCCAACCAGGCCGGCCGGACTTGGATGCTTACAGACGTCTTTCAACCTCAGCTGGCGGTGGCACCGACTACGGAAGGAACAGCCCAATAATACGCATCTAATGGTACAGAGAAACGGCAACGATTGGACTCCGAAAGGCAGCAAGCATGTCAGGAGCGGGTGCCGTACGGCGTGCACGTCTTCCCAAGCCACCACAAAGATGGAGGTACGTGCAGCCTCAACCACCTTCTGCCCCAAACGAGGCTCTACGCAACAGCTGCTCTCAAAGATCAACTCTCATATTCCTTCCTTGGACTGCTTGTTCATTTCACCACTGCCGTCATGAACCAGCAAGACAACACGCCTTCGACCTGCGGTATCTTGCCTTCTACATATCGC